ATATGCCTGACGAGCGGCAAGAACCGCGAAACCGGTCGTGTGCTTCCAGGGAAATTTTGTCCAGTCATTCACATACTACTTGTTATGAAATATATATAGATACATATATATGTAAAATCATGCACAAGATGTTTCTCATATGGATTTTGTGAGCACTATAGGGCGTGGCGAAGCCATGAAGCCAATCACAAATGCGGTGGCTTCGATTGTTGTTGACACTAAACACCTGATAGATAAGGCAACGTTTCGGCCTCTGTACATAATCAAAATGAGACCATCTACGCACGTATTACTTCGAATTCTAGTCAAAATAGTACCAATTAGCAGCTACCTATAAGACCCCTTCAACTGTTGGGTTCAAAGGCAATTTTTTAACCATTTAGGCTACCTTGGTTGAAGTCGCAACCTGCTATCGGACTGGAAGCACCAGAACAAGTGATAATTGACTCAACCAAACCGATATCTGAAATGGTGAACAATTAATCCCCACCCATTCAACATCCCTCCTAAACCCCCGGTCTGCAGTTATGCATTATGTTTTATTAGCACGATTGCGAAGAACTGAGAACTACCTTATTTACTGCTTCATGTTATCAGTGTTTTATGATACTGACCACGGATTTATTGGTTAATAGTGTTAAAACTAGAAATAAGTTGGATAATCAATATCATATGCTGCGCTGTAACCAGATGCAATCAAAGATGGGCAAACCTTCCAGGAAAATCGNNNNGCCAACATTAACAAGGTAGACGTAAGGAACCCAAAGCACTGGCAGGCGTAGACCACCTTCGCACACGCAATCCGGCACAGGTTGGTAATCTAAGTGATGTATTGATAAGTGAGCCAGAACGTAGACACCGACTATCGAACAGTTGCAATCAGGCGCCATTCTCAAAGAACGTCGATACAAGGGAATGCGTCACGGATACATTTTCACGGACGTGGGCTCATATGCCAAATAGCTGAACCCAGACAGTTAACTAAAAAAGGATAGAAAAACCACGGGCCGAATCACATTCCTCCCGAGGACACCTGTGGCATTTGACCTCTGGTGTGGATAGGACTTGTGACGTGGTTGCTCAAACCTGCGATCTTTTGCCTCAATGACAAGGATCATCTACCCTTGCGGTAGAAGAACAGCGTCTATTCTCGTGATCGTGGGTGGTGGTGGCGCAGCGGTTTAGTCGCTGTCACCGGCTTGCTTTAGACCCCCTTGTCCGAGGTTCGAGCCCCGCCACCGCCACCCGACTTTGGTGGTAGGCAGCTCTGCTGTCGTCCGGTTCAATACCACACCCAACCTATCGGGGCCTTATGTGGTTTACCACTCCAAGTCCCGGGGCTTAGGTTACCGGTTTTCATCACTGAACAGAAGGTCCTCGTGATTATGGGGTTTCACCCCGTCTGCTGTTCATCACACGAAAGTGTGTAATAAAAAATAAAAAAACTCAATCTTGGGAATCGGGACAGAATACAGCGAATAGGACTGTTGAACTTCGAAGCGATAAGATATCACGGGTATAGAACCATTTCCATCTACCTCCGTATAAACTAGATGTTGCTTGTGTTCTTCTTGGCCCTCTCTTGCTATCATTGCACAGCTCGTTCGGATTGCCCGGAAAAAGCGGTCAAAACAAAGACATATCGTGGTTTAAGTTTCCCACTTTTAAGGCAAAGAGTAACACATCTAAAGTTTTCCGTATGTTATCAGGTAATTTGCTTGAAATTTTGTGTTACTGGTATAGGATTTTATAAATAAAAAAACAACCATGGTATAAACTGCGACTTTTGTAAGATTCTTTGGTATACCTTAATCAGTTTATTGATTCCCTCATCTGCGGCGATGCGCACATCTTGATGTTCATTATTCACTAAGTGGAACAGGCATGGCAAAACAACACTCAAGTAGCTGGGCGCAGCTGCAGATGCTCTGGTTTGAACACGAAGCAAACCATCCACCAGGTGTTGTGTATTACGTAAAAGTTCAGCCTTGGAAAGCTGAGTCACAGCAATGCGGACCGCGTCCACTGTTGGCGGTGTTTGACCTGTACCACTACTGTTTGTCACAGAGGTGGTTGCAGAATTGGCGGAATCCGTGGAGTTTGTGCCCGACTGATTCTGTAGTGCACCCAAAGTTCGAAGTGCAGTGAGTAGATTGAGCTCGGCAGTCGAACTCGCATTCATCGCACGATAATGTGACGATTCTGAAACCAGACAGATAAAATTATTAGCACAAAACAAATAAGATCGATCGAAGGAAATTTCTTTCTTTGATTGACTACGATTGGTTTCTCGGAGAGAACATACCGAATTTATGCGTTTGACAGCAGCGTAGCTACAAATATATACAACTAATATATATGCCTCTGAAATCCTCAGTATGGTCGGGGGTGGGTGTCTGGGATTGCGGCTGGTTACCCGTCCCTTGCACCTCGCGAAATGCTCCCATACGACCAAACGTCTCATAGAACGGTATAATCGAACCTTCTCGATCGCCATGGCGGTCCCCGGTCCTGGTTACAACCAAAGAACGCCAGAAACGACGGATGGTTGTCGATTATAGTCAGACAATTAACCGGTTCACCCTGTTGGATGCTTACCCGCTATCCCGTATTGATGACTTGGTGGGTAAAATTGCCGAATACGGCATTTACAGCACCCTAGACTTGAAGAGTGCGTACCACCAAATACCAATAAAGGAAAATGGGCGATATTATACAGCCTTCGAAGCATGCAATAATCCTTATCAATTTCGTTGCATACCGTTTGGAGTAACCAACGGCGTCGCCTGTTTCCAGTGCACCATGGATGAGCTTGTCGACGTGAAGGGCTCAAAGGAACCTTTGTATATGTANTGTCTGTGGGAAAGAAATCACGGACCACAACGTAAATCTGAAGAGGTTCCTGCAGGCGGCTGCCAAACATGGTTTAACGCTAAATAACAAGTGTGTATTCACCTCCGAAGTAGTTCGATTGCTAGGCTACGAAATATCCAAAGGATGCGTC